GTAAGTACAATAATACGTATAGAGTAGTTAGTAACGTTACAAATATACTAATATATATATATATATATATATATATATATATATATAAACGGTATAACGTGAATAAAGAAAATATAGAGGTTTTTATAACATTAAAGGACAAGAAGGGCTTTATTGTCCATCTAGGCTGTCCTATTCACTAAATTAAAGAAAAGAAAAATATATATAAAGCCAGCCCTTATCATTCAAATATCAAACTCCCTTAAATTAACTGCATCCACCAAGTCCAGTTGCTAAGGGTGGAAACTAAGGAAGATTATAATGCTGCCTAGCGGAGAAAAACCCTCCTATGACCTATACAATAATATTCAACCTTTTAGGACTTGTATTTAATATTTCTATAAATGCAACTTAAAATCTTATTTGCCGTACAACCCTGTTAGAAAAATATGATAGATATGTACGTTTTATTCTCTTAGCTGCTTGAAATCCTGAAGAAGCTAATTTTTCAAATATAAAAGTAATTCTTAAAAGTACAAGTGCTTGATTTCTCATTATTGTTTGGTAAAGAAACTTTGCTGATGAAATGAAAGTTAATTGTATATAACAGAGTTAGACAAAGGCCTTGTTATAGATATGAATAAAACATGTTATGTTTCAATATAAACAGCAATAATTCCTTAAAACTTTGCTTAGAAAACTTCTTTTGAATGTCCAGACACAGGAAATACCCATAGAAGTGAAAATAACAATTCAAGACAGAGTTAGACAATGCTTTAGTTCTGATTTTGTTCCTGCTTTCTGCATAGGTTTTTCTGGGTGTTATATAAGGTTTTATTTCGTTGTTTGTTTTTTAAGCATTATATCCCCATTGTGTTAGGTGAAGTTTTTATTTCTTTATTTATTTCTACTCTTTTTACATAGTCTCTCTGGCTGCCCTCATGCCGACAAAGCCCAATTACAAAACCAACACCACGATTTAAGGTAAGGCACTGTGATATCTCCTCCTTGTTAAATTATAAATGGTAGAACAATTGATGTTTACTTGAATTTTCATACCAGTTTAATGAGGAGTTGTACCAAGCTTTTAATTCATGGCTATAGAAGAACCCCTGAAGTATAACCAGACAGAATTATCCTAAAAATAAGCTCTCAGAACAACTCTAAGGATAGAAATTAGCTAAGGATAAGCTTTCAGAACAGCCCAAGGATAAACTATCCGAGCTGGCACTTAGAAGGAGATAAAAAATAGGCTCCAAGAACTAGCCTAAATATAAACTCTCAGAACTCAGTTAAGAATAAGCTCTCGTAACTATCCTGGTCAGGACATGTTTCCATCTTTATCAAAAAAGTAGCTTTTTTATGTTATTATATTTTAATGTTTTACGGATAAGATATTATAAATGGAAAACACACTTTATCAAACAATGAAACATTGAAAACACAGATAAAATAAAAATGCTGGACTTCTCTCTCTCTCTCTCACTGTTTTTCAGTACAAGTCTTTCAAAATGCATATTTCCTTCATGCATCATCAGACAAGCCTTGGTGTCTATAAAGGCTCACGTGTATCGCATGTAGTTCGTAGTTTTCTGCTTAAGCTACTTACTGGATATTCAGTGTCACCACACACACCCGTCTACGAATAGATTATTCTATTATACAACCCTTTTGAATTATTCATACTTTTATCTGGTTCGATTTATTTCAAAGGCCTTAGTTCACCACAATATATTTTACGACTTGTCGTGTCAGTGGACGTCTGTTACATGTTTAACTTCGTAGCTTCTGGACAGTAAATATCTAAACAATAATAAAATCCCTTACTTATAGAAACGTGTTTATTTAATTTATTATACGGTACTGTATTATAATATTGCTGTGAGACATTCATGTAGTTCTTTCTTTGTATTTTACTGTATGTGATTGCTACTGACAAATACAGCGTTTCATGTTTCAAAATGTTATTGGCTGTCTATTTTCATAATCCTCCGTCTTGTTGACAATCTCGAAAAGAGATAATATTATTTCGCAAAGCTATACATGAAATTCAATAACATTAAGGGAAATTTATGTTTCCAAAGTCGCTCAAAGGTTTCATAATATCAATTTGCAAGTTCCTATTTTCTTTAGCGAATCAAACTGGCTCAGTTTTGTTACGTTGTGGTATAAGATATCTAATTTGAAGAATAAAGTCTAACATATCAGCAGTAAACTAAGTAAAAAACAATAAAATACAAATCAGTAAACATCTTCAATCCAACCTAGTTTTTTAATGAAGTTTCGTTATTTTGTCTAAAACACATTTGACAGGAACTACTACGAGAACGTCTTTGTCATAAGACTTAAGAGCCCTACTATTTAATTTCAGGTGCCCAACTCCCGGATGTGATGGTTCTGGTCACGTGACAGGAAATTACTCTTCTCATCGTAGTCTGTCAGGTTGTCCACGTACCAACCGACATAAAATATCTGTATTAAGAGAAGAAAAACCCAATGGCGATTTAACCCGGTAAATTTTATGTTATTATTTGTTTTATTTTTATCACGTTTAATCTTCGTTTACCAATTCAATTACAGACATGTTTTTCTACTCAGTCACACAGGAGGTCAATCTGTAGATATAATGTCTCTCTTCTATATCTTGTGATGATAAACCACCTAAACTATGGCTTTAGTGTCGAACGTGAGTAGCCTACAATGAAGTCAGAACAAATATATTAAACAGTTAAAGGTGAGGATACTGAGGAGGAATATCATTTAAGTGTCAGAAAAGAGAGAGAAAAAAACGAACTCTGGTACAAAATCCCTTAGATGTATTTTGGTTCATCAATACACCGATGTCAAATATATACGGTAATGGAAAATAGTATTTCCAAACAGAAAGAGAAGAAGTTACCCTTTTTATTTCTGTATCTTGTTATATGTTGTTTTATAATAATGAAATAATTTTGATATAAATTTGAGTTCCGTTTTCATACGCCATGTATTTCGTATAAGCACAGTTTGATTGCTCTAGCTCCTGCTTCTCTATTCAATCTTAAAATAGAACGTTAAACAAACTTTATTTGGATAATGTTAATAGTGTTGTAGATATTCGTTTCCAATTAACTGAAAGAGGGCGTCACCGTATAATAGCTGAGTCTTTGGTAAGGTCATGTTTATCGTTTGTAAAAAACTTATTTAATTATTATAAGCGATAAAAAATTCAGGATTGACAGAAAGAAGTTGTCGGTTGTAGTATATTTAAATTGTTTAGTAACTGATGAAAACTTTAATCTCGGTATTTCGTTTCTTATGAAAACAAAGTTGGGTAAGGAAATTACATAAACTTTACTGTGCAGTCCTGAAGACGACAGTTTTTCCCCCAGTAATTTCTTCAAAACATGTACAACTCTTTAGATGTACTAAAACAAGTTACTTTTCAAAAATAAAACTAAGTTTACTTGGAAGCAAATACGGATTCTGTGGTGACTTCTGCTTTCGTCGATTTTGACTATTAGATTCCTTAAGCTCCTATGTAAGTTGTGTATTCTGCACTATGTATAACGTATAAACGACTTTGCAGACGTGATAAAGAAATAAGCGTACGCAATAATTTATTATAAAAATGAACTCAAACGTAGTTTATTCTTTGTTTTTGCTTAGGAAATAAAACTTCCCAACTAGCATTGGGTGGTGAGACGTAATTAAAGAAAATTCAGTCTTCGAATCTTTATCGTCTTGCATGACCATAAAGATGTGGCAAATTGTGTGTTTTCTAAATGCTTTTGAGTATTCTTAGCCATAAATCAGTGCTGTTTATACTGCCCAGTTTTTACTAGGATAATTTTAATTATTAAGAACACGTCACATTCATGCAACATAGAAACTTATGCTAATACTTAAGGCTTACGATGACAACAACAGGATGATTAAAACATCACTTTCTGATGAAAATAATTTTCAAAGTTTTTGACGTTTTCTTAGCTCATTTAATAATGTTTACTATTAAAATATTATTCAAGTTTAATAATTAAAGTCGTTAACAACACGGAAAAATTTTCGCTTATTGAAGTTTTGTGTGTGTGATTCTATAGTGAATTAACTATTTATCAAACTATAAAATATTTTAAAGCATTACAAGAAGAGCTAAGTAAGGCTTGGTATGGCCTGCTTATTAGGGCGTTCAACTAGCAATCTGTGGGTTGTGGATTTGAATTCTCTTCACCAAACATACTCGCCTTTTAGGATTGCTGTCAGGACCATTCACCCGAGTGTAAAATTTTTGGTTAATACAAAAAATCCGAACGCCGACCACATATCTAGATGGGATTAAAGTCTAACGAAGAAGAATAGCTAAATAGGTTCAACTATCACCAGAAAGTACAGACATTGCTCACATCATAAGAATATGCAGAAGTCTGATTTGTTTTCAAATCTTCACAAAAAATATTGGTTATAAATAGGGTAGAAGGAACATAAGAAACAGTAATTTTCATAACAGTTTTTAAAATTCAGATGAATATCAATCAGAACATTTATATTTGAGAAACAATGATCATGCAGTCAGCTTTAGAAGGAAACTTTGCCTGCTAATTTTGAGGAGTGAGTAACTTATAGTAAAACGAAGTTGAATACGCAAATTAGCAATTAACGTGACAATCACAGCTAATATAAGGTCACGGTGGAGCGGAAGGTATGAGAACTACGTTATGATATTGTTTAGCATTACTTTGGTGGTGAGACGCTACAGAAAATTATTCATACACTCAGATCATAAAGATTTGTTCAGATCGGATATTTGGAATTTCCAAAACGGGGATAACCATTGTACTTAATGGCATTGGAAAACAAAATAAAGTGGATCAACTTGGAGACCTAGGACCATCCAGAAAGATATCTGCAACAAGTCATAAACCATCTAATTGTAAGCTAATTGTAGCATCTTGTAACAGGCGAGAATCCATGAACACAAAGATCCCTGGTAAAAGCCGTCCACATGCTCCAAGAAACAGTATATAATATAATCAAAAATGATCTCAATCTAGAAAGGCGACACATGTTACGTATACACAAATTGCTTCTGTAATTTATCCATTCAACTGTAGCATACCTCAAGCAGCTGAAGAATGAAATTAGTATTCATGCTATTCCATACGAAGACATACCGGTAAAGTCACCAAACGCAGCGCTTATGGATTTCTGTGTGATCGGACGCTTAAAACGGACGTTGGGAAACCGTCGTCCTCGTATGCTGACGGATTATGGAAAGCAATGAGGGAGGATTGGTGTCATTTGTAAATGACAACCTTACGACAGTGCTTTTTGTAATAGAAACTACGTTATAGGGCTATTGTCAATATGTACGGTCATCAAATAGAGCATAACCGTACGTGGCGACATGCAATCTAATCAAGTGGCGTGGCTCCAAGGTCGTTTTAATGTAACGTACTCAACCTCTGTAGAAATAGAAGTGTTAGTTATCTAAAGGTGAAAAGTTTCACACAATAACTTATATGTTTTTTTCTCACATTCTGTTTTGAATCACAACATTACTACAGCAATATTTCTATAATATTCAGAGTGACTGGCTGTCCGATAGGTAGTAAGACTAAAGTCCGATATCACCACGAACCTATACAGACAAGCGGAAGAGTTATCAAACCTGAAGGAAGTAGGTACGTTGATGTTTCGAAGTTTACAACTTTTATCTCTATAAATAATACGCTTAACACATTTGTATTGAAATGGTACTAAAAATAGTAAATATGTTGTATCTTTGGTAATGTGATAATACACTAATTCGTATATTAAGATACAATAGTTTTAACAAACAATAAGTTACATTAATATATTTTCTGTAAAAGAAGAAGCTATACTTTAGCCATAGATTGAGTAAACAGTCTAAGATTATTTTTTTTTTACTCATAAGCGATTAATATAAACAAAGTTTCAATTACGACTTTCTAAGCTACCAGACATAATGAAGTCTGGTATTCATCAAAAGGCTACGCCGGAAGTGGCATAAAACAAATGTAGCATAGTTAAAATACTATTTTACACTTCTCTTACTGGAAACCCGTGTATGACTAATAAAGAATCATGTGATCGAAATTTTATTAGTCTTATTGTGGTGTAACATCAATCACATATACGTGTTACCATTACCTGTAGTTGCTAATATTCAGTGATCGAAGTGGGTCGATATGCAACTATATGATATAATTGCTTGCTGGAAGTGGGTCGGTATGCAACCATGTGACATAATTTCGTGCTGGAAGTGGGTCGGTATGCAACCATGTGACATAATTTCGTGCTGGAAGTGGGTAGGTATGCAACCATATGACATAATTGCGTGCTGGAGGTGAGTTAGTATGCAACCATATGATATAACTACTCCTATTTAAACCTTTGATTTCCATACAGTTACTGAATAAGGATTTTTTCCCATTTCTGAATGTTCAGAACGAACATTTTTGATTTTCAGCTACTTCTTTTTTTCCTTACAGAAACATCTGTTTTCAATCAGTTTTCTTCACGCATTTTTGCCTTGTTCTAAAAGTAAATTTGAACATATTTCCGCATAATTGCTCTGCAAGTCAACTGCTTGCTTCGCTCTTGCACAGCTTCTGCTTTTCTTCCGTACCAGTACTCTCCCCACTAACCTAACAAAATTGCATGACACTTGTCAACGCTTTCCAGTTACTAGCAGGAAACTCACAGTATAGTTACATTTCATGTAATAAAGTGAAAACTTTATAGCTTATTTTTACTGTAAAAACTTTTAAAATAGGAAATTAAATTTGGTAATGAAACGCAGCGTTTGAAATGGCCTAAATTTTTACATTATGCTATATGGCATGTGCATAAGTAAAATGTTTCATCGTGCCTAAAATAGTTTTGTTCTTTTTATTTATTTAAAATTTTTACTACTACTTATACCTGAGAAGAGACAAGTAGTCATAAGTGACATTCTTACAGCTGCCTCTTGTAACTTTGTTATATGTGTTAATCGGCTGTTTATGCATAAGCAGGGTTTAAGAGTAAATAAAACATGTGTAGTTCCATATTTAATCTTTCCCAGTAACATTGCTTTGCTCCTTCTATGAACATACGTAACCCAACTTCTACGCCTTCCAAGTAACTTTTCTTTGCTCCTTCTAAGAACATACTAACCCTAGTCCTACTCTTTCCAACTAACAATGCTTTCCTCCTTCTAAGAAAATATGTAACTCCACTTCTACTCCTTCTAAGGGCGTAAGTAACTCCAATTATACTCCTTCTAAGAACATACTAACCCTAGTCCTACTCTTTCCAACTAACAATGCTTTCCTCCTTCTAAGGAAATATGTAACTCCACTTCTACTCCTTCTAAGGGCGTAAGTAACTCCACTTCTACTCCTTCTAAAGGCGTAAGTAACTCTACTTCTACTCCTTCTAAGGACGTAAGTAACTCCACTTCTACTCCTTCTAAGGGCGTAAGCAACTCCACTTCTACTCCTCCCAGGTAGCATTGCTTTGCTCCTTCTAATTTTTTCGACGTATTTAAATTCTCTTAATGCAGGTAGTTGGTTCACACCAAAACTGGGATATTTTGCTTTGCATCTGCTGACAATTGTTCTCTTCTACTACAGTCCTTCCCTTACTATGTTAATTTTTGCTGTTCACTGAATGTACTTTTTGAACTTCAGCATGTACTTCCTGATTCTAATGTTATACTTTTGAAATATGTTCACCTCAAAATATGTTTACGTATGTGAATGTTATTAAACACAAGTATTTTATGTGTGTATACGTTGTCATAATTCATCGATCTGCTTGTCTGTCGACATATTGCAAAGTATGGTAAAGAAGGTCTATCCTGGTACAGAACGTTTATAATTTTAGGTTTGGCTCGATATTCACACATCGCTTCAATATAACGTCAGTTTTACTGAACTGGTAAACAAAAGAAGACAAAAGTCAAACGTTTCAAATGTGTATGTGCAAGACCTACAAACTAATAATCTCAAGTGTGTGTATAGAAACTACGGGTCAAACATCTCAAATATGTATATATATATATATATATAATAACTGCAGGTAAAACGTCTCATGTGCGTGTACAGGAACTACGGGTCAGACATCTCAAATGTGTATGTGTATATATATATATATATATAATAACTGCAGGTAAAACGTCTCATGTGCGTGTACAGGAACTACGGGTCAGACATCTCAAATGTGTATGTATATATATATATATAATAACTGCAGGTAAAACGTCTCATGTGCGTGTACAGGAACTATGGGTCAGATGTCTAAAGTGTGTGTGTGTATGTATAGTAACTACAGGTTAAACGTCTGAAGTGTGTGTGTGTATAGTAACTACAGGTTAAACGTCTGAAGTGTGTGTGTGTATAGTAACTACAGGTTAAACGTCTGAAGTGTGTATGTGTATAGTAACTAAAGGTTAAACGTCTCAACTGTGTGTGTGTGTGTGTGTATAAAGTAACTACAGACCAAAAGTCTCTAGTGTGTGTGTGTGTATATATATATAAGAACTACAGGTCAAACGTCTGCCAGTTTATTTTAAGTGTATTTAAATACATTTAAAATTTTACATTTATTTAAACTTTCTGAAGTTTTTTATCATCTTACATGCTTGCTAACCCTGTCTTTCTCCATTGCAGGCCTTACTTCGCCTCTACAGCCTTTACTCCATTACAGATATATTCGGGCAATGCCCAGGCGTTATATTTCGGCGCCTGGACGTAAAAGTGAGTTTTCTCGGGGCTCTCCCGTTTCTTCCCCCCCCCCACCCCCACAGCCAATTTTCGGGTATTGGATTTATTGATTTCAGCCCAGGCATAGGATTTTCACATTCCTTCCTCCTTGAAGGACCTTCCGTCCCACAGGGGGGCGTTTGGTTTGAGAATTAGAAGAACGCGTAGTATTTTGCAATCATAATTAACTCAAGTAGCATCACTCAAGTAGCCTAACACCTTAGCAGTAGTAAAACACTTAATATGACCATTTTAAATTAATATAAGCCCGTTTATATGTTGATGTTTTCACATTGCCTTAATCACGAGTGAGACGAAGAGAGTTCCAAAAATCTCTGAGCACCCCTGGTTTTATAATAAACCTAAATACCTGCCAAGATTAGATTGGTCTCATGTGTGTGTGTGTCTGTATAGGTACTACAGCTCAAACATATGAAATGTTTGTGTATAGAAACTAGGTCAAACTTCTCAAATATGTGTATGTGTGTATGAACTACAGGTCAAAGGTCTTAAGTTTGTGTATATGGAAACTATGAACGTGTCAAGGATACATAGAAACAACTAATGTCTCCAGTGTGTGAAGAAACTACAGGTCATAGGTTTCATTCCAATTATATACAGAAACTATGGGTCGCTAATGCGTGTTAAGTTTTTTCTTTATTTTAGCTTGTTCAAAACTATGCAATACTTTTGAAAATCACATTCATATCTCCGTATTATTGGGAAGCAGTTGAAAATCACATTCATATCTCCGTATTATTGGGAAGCAGTTGAAAATCACATTCATATCTCCGTATTATTGGGAAGCAGTTGAAAATCACATTCTTATCTCCGTATTATTGGGAAGCAGTTGAAAATCACATTCATATCTCCGTATTATTGGGAAGCAGTTGAAAATCACATTCATATCTCCGTATTATTGGGAAGCAGCTGAAAATCACATTCATATCTCCGTATTATTGGGAAGCAGTTGAAAATCACATTCATATCTCCGTATTATCTGGAAGCAGTCCAAATATTATTACATCTTTATAAATCGCGACACAACCTTTATTGGTTTGTTCGAAAATTTACCATCGTATGGATGAGCCTTTCTTGTAACTGAAAGTTTTACAAACGTGGGTGTGAATAAACACGTGTTCTTACTACGTTGTTACCATACAATATAACGTACGATAGATAATTCATTTATGTTACTATTTTGTATCTTTAACTGTTCCATAACATCTATTACTACATTTGTTCAAGCTAATCTACTCTTTTATACAGCCTTTCAACTTTGGGTGCGTTTTCAAAGAATTTCTGCTTTTATCTTCGTAAGATTTTACTTGCCCAAAGGAAAGTCTCTAAAGAAAGTTCTAACTAGATTTCCAGAAGAAAGGAAAGCTATTTAACATACCTCGTAGGTTTGCTAAAGTTCGGCTCTGATTGTTGACAATATTAACAGTGTCGCAAGAGGTCAAAGTGAATCTTAACTAGACCATCATGTTACAGTGGTGTATTGTTCGGTTCCCAATGTCGTTCGTATAGACATTTGTTTCAAAAGAAAGCTCTTCAAATGAACAAAAACAGATAGATTTGATTTATGGGTAAACAGTTTTTGCTTTGGAAAACTACAACTTAGTTTATTTTTTACCTGGACAAGCTTCTGTTTTGTTAGGACTTATTGAAAAAATCAAGTACATCTCATTGGGGAAATGTGTTGTTATTGTTCTTTTTATTATGCCACAAGGAATTCTAGTTATAACGTTGAATACTAGTATTTATTGTATTAACCATTTTTTTAAAACGAACAGCCTAGCAATCCCAATAAGTGACTTTCAATCAATATCCTTGGTAAAACTGGTTTGCTTTAGAAATGTTAGGGTTCTTCGAAGAGAGAAATTAGATTTCATTCAGTCGATAATATTGAACCAAAGGAATTGGAAAGTTTCAATTGGTGCTGGAAAACAAAAAGTACCTAACGAAGTCAACAGATTTAAAGTATTTTCTCAATTTACAGTTGCCCAACTCCTGGATGTGATGGCAGTGGTCACGTGACGGGTACCTTTCTTACCCACCGAAGCTTGTCTGGGTGTCCTAGGGCAGTTCACCGTGAAAAGAGACCAAGACTTTCCCTCGGTCACCAGATGTCGCCTCCTACAGGTACAGCATTGAATTCCTCAATAAAAGCGTCCACTAAAACTATATCAATTTAGTGATTGAATTTCTTTCATTGTTGGTGTGGTCATATATATATCGTAAGGCTACTCTGTGTTTTCAATAACTTGTTTAAACTAATCGGCCCGGCATGGCCAGGTGGTTATGGCGCTCGACTCGCAATCTGAGGGTCGCTGATTCGAATCCCTGTCACACCAAACATGCTCGCTCTTTCAGCTGTGGGGACGTTATAATGTAACGGTCAATCCCACTATTCGTTGGTAAAAGAGTAGCCCAAGAGTTGGCGGTGGGTGGTGATGACTAGCTGCCTTCTCTCTAGTCTTACACTGCTAAATTAGGGACGGCTATCGCAGATAGCCCTCGTGTAGCTTTGCGCAAAATTCAAAACAAACAAATAATAGTATTGTTACCAAACTTATGTGAACATACTCCAGACTAATACTAAAGACCGACCACGAATTATTTTCATCTGTCACATAAATTTGCTACGCTCACCTAGTTCAAATGCTAACGTTATTGTAAAAACGTAACAAAACTTCTCGGAAATTTAGTCTTTGTTACGCTTATATTTCAAATAAACTTAGTTTATTATTATTTAACAAAAATGTCCCAAAATTTGTCCCAACTCACACTTGTGGTCGTTTTTTGCGATGATAAATTGTGACCACATAATACTCAATTTAAATGTAATGACAGCATTAAAGACATGAATCAGAGGTGCTAAGAACCATTCAATAGGTTATTATTGTAAAAGGAAACAAGCAAATTTTTACATAAGATTATATGATATTTTAAAGCTGAACCTTCACCATTCAAAAAAAAGCGTTGAAAACCAAGATATTGCCCCCCAGTGGCACAGCGGTATGTGTGCGGACTTACAACGCTAGAATCCGGGTTTCGATACCCGTGGTGGGCAGAGCACAGATAGCCCATTGTGTAGCTCTGTGCTTAATTACAAACAAACCAAGATATTGTAGCATAAACGAAACATTTAGGTTAGATTTTAGAATATAACTTACGAAATAGCGCATTTACTTTATCTTATATATCACTGAAATGAATCTGTGTTTATATTTTTGCAATAAGTGTGGTAATTGCAGTTCTAGCAGGATTTGCACTTAAGACCAACCACTCGCACGCCATCCTAAAGGGCTAATCTCTAGCAAGTCCCAGTAAGGCACTTTTTATCAACTCAAACTACCATATAACAAAGAAATCTGCTAACATCATACTTCTCTGTGTTATAAACAGATTTATGAAATACCTTATTATCAATGTGCCCTTTGCTAGAATAGATATAGGTACATATATTTATATTACTTTGTAATATTGAAATTATATAAATTATTTTTAATTTCTACAAATATAGAAGTTGCAAAAAATGAATCTATAAAGGTGAATGTTATTTTAAGAGTATTTTAAGCAGTATAGACATGTAGAGTTTTGGTTTTAATGGGCTGCCCCTGGCTGTTTATATAGTGGGACAACACTACGGCTTTTATACTGAGGCCTACTTCAATCTAAAGAAGGCCTTAGTATAAAAGCCAAAACATTTTCCCGAACTAGAAACAGGCAGGCAGAAGTAGTCCATTTAAAGCCAAAAGTTGAATAGTGTTTAACGCTAATTAGTTCTTTAAGGATCAGCATTCTATGAGATGGAAGCTTCGACTGAAGTTGGTCTTCAGCTAGAAGACAAGTTTCAACCGGAACTGGAAGAGACACTGAATAATCGTGAACTCCACCAATACAGAGCTAAGATCGAATCAGAGATGAGCAGCTATCGATCAGACGTAGAACAGAAAGTTAGGGTTGCCGAGATGGTACGCTCACCAGTTTCTCCTTCTAAGTTACGATTGTAGGTATCAACAGTCAAACTCTTAAGAAGAGTCATTTTGAAGTAAGATAGCACCGTGAGTCACTACGAGTCCCTAAAGGGCCAAAAAGCTCCAAAGGTTTTGAATAAAAATCTTCTTTATCAGGAGTTACTGGTGAAGAAGATACAACTATTCAACATTACCTACGCTTTTGGGTCGCTTTGTCACTACGAGGTTATTAGAAAATCCCTAAAGGGCCCAAAAGCTCCAGAGGTTTCAAAGAGAAGCTTATGCTATCACATGAAGAACAAAACACTCTTAAAAATTGCAGAGGCTTTTGGGTCGCTTTCGAACTTTTCTCTTATGACGTATTATATTATGTGAATTTTTTTATACTGTTTATCATGATTGAATAGTAACAAAATATTTACAGATTATGGTTACGATATTGTTTCCAGTTATATTATTTCTTATCTCAATTGGTCGATTCGAAGAAAAATAATTTAATAGTGTTTAAAATAACAAGTATTTTAGTAAAGGGAAATTAAATTAACTCAATATTTTTTTCGATATCAAAGAATACCAAATACTCATCTAACTGATTAATAACGAGATTCCACATTTACAAAGTATAATCACAGAAAGTCTGGTATGTCAGTCCATTACAAAATATTGTAACAGAAAGTATGGTATGTCAATCTATTACAAAGTATAATCACACAAAGTCTGGTATGTCAATCCATTACAAAGTATAGTCACAGAAAGTCTGGTATATCAATCCATTACAAAATATAGTCACGGAAAGTCTGGTATGTCAATCCATTACAAAGTATAATCACAGAAAGTATGGTATGTCAATCCATTACAAAGTATAATCACAGAAAGTCTGGTATATCAATCCATTACAAGGTATAATCACAGAAGGTATGGTATGTCAATCCATTACAAAGTATAATCACAGAAAAGTATGGTATGCCAATCCATTACAAAGTATAATCACAGAAAGTATGGTATGTCAATCCATTACAAAGTATAATCACAGAAAGTATGGTATGTCAATCCATTACAAAGTATAATCACAAAAAGTCTGGTATGTCAATCCATTACAAAGTATAGTCACAGAAAGTCTGGTATATCAATCCATTACAAGGTATAATCACAGAAGGTATGGTATGTCAATCCATTACAAAGTATAATAACAGAAAGTATGGTATGCCAATCCATTACAAAGTATAATCACAGAAAGTCTGGTATGTCAATACATTACAAAGTATAGTCACGAAAAGTCTGGTATGTCAATCCATGATCCTTTGAATACGTTTATTGACGCAGAAAGTTGATATTTTAGCGTTGTGACACAAAGAAGTAATACTTACATGTAAACAACGGTGACCTAATGGTTTCATATATTACAATACAATTGAACTCAGAAAAGTAAAAATCCTCAAAGTGATTTTATCGAGATACTGACAAGCTTTTACCCAGCCCAACTTTAATATGTGTGTACAAAAAGAAATTATTGAATGGCTATGTGTGTGTTTAATAATACATAGGTTTAGTGCTTTCACAGTAGTGCTCACTTTGTTGATCTATATATAATTCTGCTGATAGAGTGTGTTCAACAATACATAGGTCAGTGCTTTCACGGTAATGCTCACTTTGTTGAGAAATTTACTATTCTACTGATAGACTGTATGTGTTTAACAATACATAGGCTCAGTGCTTTCACGGTAATGCTCACTTTGTTGAGAAATTTACTATTCTACTGATAGACTGTATGTGTTTAACAATACAT